AGAGCACCTGGTGGATGTCGCTAACGCCTCGCTTGTAATGCCCGTCTAGCAACCTTGGAAGCTAGTGACGGAGGTTGTCTCGCCTCCGGCCACGACGAGAGAAGAGGGGCAGGAGGAACTCCCCTCTTCCCGAGAATACCTTTTGTGTGTCACAGAAGTCGCTATTTTCCCCCTACAAGATTATAGAAGATTAACCCGTCACTCAAAATGTGTACAAAAGCAACCGCTTCGGTGGCTGGAACGACTAGGCCATCCTCTCGACGTCAGCCTCGCCGTAGCTTTGCTCGTCTTGAGACGACCTACGTCACGATTGCGTTGGATGTCACGTGGTCTCCGCTGGGCCTTCTCCGAGCGCTTGCCAGAGTGGGCCGTTTATAACGAAAAATACAGCCACCAGGCTCAAAATACAAACGTGCGATTGTCATTTACGGATATTGTGGATCATATTCAACCTATTTTTGAACACGACGGGAATATTTCAAATTTCGTTGAAGTATCCCTTTAAGCCTAAATATCGTAAAAAAACGTGTTTGTTCGGTTCCAAACGGACTTAAACTTGGTAATATTCTTGCCTTTTTTCAACATTCTCAGATTAAGTAGCTCCACCATGTTATGTTTATTGCTCATTTAAATTGTATCCTAGGCGGCAAGGTACATTGGAGCAGTTCAAAATAGAAAGCAACACTTCTTAAGAGACGAGCAGGCGTCGTAAATTTTTAACGTGTAGAAATCGGCAGACGTCGTATTGATTCGATTAGAAAAATGAAAGATGTTTACAATCCTCTGTAATGCTGAATTACAGCGCAGCTTTTGAGAAGGAGGGAATGGTACGGAGGGGAATTTACCGCGAAATTGTGGCACAATTTCCCGGTACATTCCTCCGTTAAATTTAGCGGGGAAATTTCCCTGCTAATTTGGCGGGAAAATTTCCGCGCTAAATTTAGCGGAAAAAATTGCCCGCTAAATTTTGCAGATAAATTTCCCCGCTAAATTGGCCGGGAAAATTTCCCCACTAAATTTGGCGGAAAACTTTTCCCGCTTATTTACAGGAAAAATTTTCCTGCTAAATTTGGCGTAAAAATTTAGGGGAACATTTACCGCCAAATTTAGGCGCCGTGTGGCGTCACGTGTGACATCATTATGGGAAACGTCTCATGATGCAACGCGCCGTTACGCTGGGTGACGGCGACGGAACAAGTTCAAGCCGGAAACGGGCGCCTAAGTGCTGCACTCTAAAACACTCAATGCGGAGGAGAATTTGTTCCTAGACTAGAAACATATCACATATCAAGAAGGGGGCCCAAACTTCAGGTTTGGAGGTTTTTGCGTTGTGAAGTTTGTGATCATGGAAGCGCTCGTATTCTATCTACCTTCGTGGGTTGCGTTTGACCCCTTTCCCCTTGTTTTACAGCTTTCTCGAAATCCCATTTGTTTTTTGGTTTTTTTCTGATGCTTACAGATTATGACCGATATAGTGAGTATATTTAATTGTTATTACTGAAAAGATTTTTGTTTGATTATTATTTAAAATGTTTTCTTTTTGTCGTATTTGGAAAGCCGAGGTCGAGTGCTCACGCAATTCTCGTGTCCCATCCATGGGTCGCGCTCCACTGTCATGAGGCGGATTGTTTTGATCCGAAAATTACGTCATAAGGCCTCGCGAAGGCGAGCGCTCAGTTGTTGCTCCTCCCGGTGGCGTGGCAGGCAGGTTCCGCTCCGATGGTCTGGAGAGTGGTGGCACAAACGTCGCTGAGTAACGGGTCGACTCGCTGCTTGTAGTCAACTATGTACATTTATTTACACCCGAGTTACAGCTTTCTACTTGGGAGACCATCCTTCCTCGTCTCGAGTCTGGGCCCAAGTCCCCCCAGATCTCCCCTGTTTCCTTCTTCAAAATTCAACCTTTCCCAAACGGGACTTTGTCTTGGGACCGGGACTGTGACTTTGTCACGGGACCGGGACTGTACCAGTCACGGAAAAAGGCAACCAATTACCACTTCAACGGACCCGCATACCCAAAAGCCCCCAAAGCCTCGCACCTCTCCTCGAAGAGACAGAGAGGCGCCGGATCAGACCAGTCGAAGTGTCTCCCCTGCGCTAGCCCCGCGTCGCCCCCTGCCCCCCAACGTCCCCTACTCTCCATGACGAGCCTCGTCAATCCCCGAAGCACTTCCCGCGTCGCCCTCTGCCCCCGAACGTCATACCGCCGCCGCTGAGGCGGCTGAAAAGAAGCACAAATAAGAGAAAAGAAAAGCAGCGCTTCGGAACTTAACAGGCATCGTGTGACGCAAAGCTGCTATTGAAACGTCGACCAGACTAGCCGGTGGCCGGGACATGAAAACGTGGTTTATTGGCAAGCGCTCTCTTTTTACCTCCCGCGCCGGTGACGTATGTCCGGCACGGGCATGCGCTGGAACGCGCCGCTCCTGGTTGCGGTGACGCAGCCGTACGGCGAAAACGGTCCGGCGGCTTCCGCAGGCGCGTAGAGCGCCTGAGAGGAACCGGGTCTGCTGTGGGCGTCACCTCGGGATCGCCGTTGGTGGCGACCTCTCTTTCGTCGGTGCTGGGCGGCCTTGCTCCCACCTCCGACCGGCCGGCGACTCTACGTGCCTTGTCAGCGCCTTCCGGGGACCCTGAAGCGTCTCGAGGTCGCAGCTGGTCCAGGTGCCGTCTCTGTTGGCCGTCCGGTGTGCGTAGCGTGACCATGCGCCGACCCTCACTGGAGACCACAGTCCCCGGTAGCCATCTCCGCCTCGGCTGGAACTGGCGTGACCAGACCGGCATTCCTGGCGAAAATGGCGGTGGTGTCGTGACCGGGGCTTGCGGCTCGACCACGCTGTGCTGCGCTTCCTCGCCCCTCGAGAAGAAGCCGGTTAGCCTTGTCCTGGGCCTGAAGCCTAACAACAACTCGGCTGGCGACTTGCCCTCTTTCATAGGGGTAGGTCTGTAACGACACAAGAACCTGGAAATACGATCTTGCAACGAGCCTTCCCTGTTCTTCTTTAGCCCCTCCTTGATCGTGCGTACTGCCCGTTCGGCTAACCCGTCCGACTGAGGGTGGTAGGGCGCAGTGGTGAAATGACGTATATGGTTCCCTTGTAAAAATCGTGCCATCGCTGCACTTAAAAATTGCGGCCCATTATCGGAAACCACTGTTCGTGGCACTCCGAAACGCGCAAACAGTTCTCGGAGCACTCCAATTGTAGTCTCGGCCGAAGCTGTTTTGAGTGGTACGGCTTCAATCCACTTTGTTTCCGAGTCCACTAGTACTAGAACCATGTACCCTTCCAGTGGCCCCGCGAAATCCAAGTGCAAACGGGACCACCGTTGGTGGGTCTCCGGCCACTTGGAAGGAACCTGTGCCGCGGGCATCGTCCAACACTGTATACATGTCGAGCAGTTATTTACCAGCTTTTCGATATCTTTGTCTAGACCAGGATACCAATAGAGGGAGCGAGCCAGACGCTTCATCGCAGTCATTCCCGGGTGGGTATCATGCAGTTCGGTCAGCATGAACGCTCGCGCAGCTTCCGGTAGAACTACGCGATGCCCCCAGTGAACCAGGTCGTGGCTCACTGTGAGTTCATACCTGCGGCTGAAGTACGGTAGGAACTGGTGCTGCTCCGGGCGCAGGTGCGACGGCCATCCGGCGTAAATCCAGGCTTTTACTTGGCGAAGCAGGCTGTCCCGCGTAGTCAGGGTGGCCATCTGCTGGGCGGACATAGGTTGGTCGTCCCACCCCCGCGTGTACAGCACATATTCAGTGAGCACTTCACTGCTGCCCTCCTCCTGCGCCGGCAACGGGAGACGACTAAGAGCGTCTGCATTCCCATTGTGGTTTCCTTTTCGGTACTCGAGATCGTACTGGTAGGCTGCGAGTAGTAACGCCCAACGCTGTACTCTAGCCGCCGCCATCTGTGGAATTGCTCTTTCAGGGTGGAACAGCGCTGTCAGCGGCTTGTGGTCTGTGACGAGCGTAAAGCGGTTGCCGAAAAGATAATCTCGAAACTTGGTAACTCCAAAAACCAGAGCCAACGCCCCCTTCTCGAGCCGTGAATAATTACGCTCTGCCTTCGTCAGCGTTCTCGACCGGAACGCTATGGGGTAGTCTTTCCCATGCATGCGATGTGACAACACTGCACCCAAGCCGTCTGGCGACGCGTCGCATTCTAGCCGTAACTGTTGCCGGGGGTTGTAGTGAACCAGGAACTTAGCTTCGACCATAGCCTGCTTAGTCTTCCGGAAAGCCCTTTCCTGATCCCCGTCCCACTGCCATTGCGCTCCTTTTGCCAATAATCTATACAAAGGGGCCAAGGTGGTTGACAAGTTGGGCAAAAATTTGGCGTAATAGGTGACGAACCCAAGAAAAGACTTGAGCTGGCTTACCGAGGTCGGTCTTGGAGCTTCGGTCACTGCCTCGAGGTTGGTCCGCTCCGGATGAAGACCTTGGGCATCGATTCTGTGGCCCAAAAAGGACACTTGCTTCTCCCGGATACGGCACTTGGCTCGGTTTAACTTCAGGCCGTTTTCCCGTAGCCGCTGCAGCACCTGCCGGAGTGTCGACGTGTCGTGTTTCTTTTCTGCGATGACGATGTCATCCAAGTAGACTTGCACCCTTGGGAGCCCTTGCAGGAGGGACTCGATGCGCCGTTGAAACAGAGCCGGTGCGGACGCAATGCCGAAGGCCAGACGATTGTAACAGTACAAGCCTTGGTGCGTGTTCAGCACAGTCATCTTTCGAGCCTCTTCGTCAAGAGGAAGCTGATTGTACGCGTTGCGTAAGTCCAGCGTGGTGAAGAGTTCCCCCCCCCATATAACGCCGCAAAAATGTCGTCAATTTTAGGCAAGGGGTATCGCTCCAGGTGTGTAGCTGGATTTACCGTCAACTTAAAATCCCCGCACAGTCGTATCTCGCCGTTTTTCTTTGCCACCGGAACAACAGGTGTAGCCCATTCCGACACGCTGACCGGCGAGAGCACGCCGTCCTTCTTTAGGCGGTTGATTTCCGCCGACACCTTGTCGCGAAGCGCGTAGGGCACCGGCCTCGCCTTACAAAAACGGGGTCGCGCATCTTCCTTCCTGTACAGCTTTACTGGTGGGCCCTGGCAGCACCCCAGCTTCTCTTCGAAAACGTCTGCAAATTCTTCCAGTAGGTCCTGCCCCTCTGCGCCGGCCTGCACCATGTTCACCCCAAGCGGTGCCCCAGTTTCTAGAAGCGGTGCCCCTGCGTCGTAAAACGCCCGCAGCGTATTCCTACCGCAAAGCAGCGGCCCTGGGCAGTTCACCACAATCAACGAGCTGCGCACCTGCGTCTGTCCGTACTGTACACTCATGGTGATCTTGCCGACAACGGGCAGCGGCCCCAGGAAGCACGACAAGCGTAGGGGGGTCGTTTCCAGGGCCGGCCACCGTTTACGGTGTCTTTTGAAAGCGCTCTCGGGAATTACGCTGACTGGGGAGCCCGTATCCAGAATCATTCGCAGCTTCCCGCCTTCCCATAACAAATCCCGCTCTATCGGCGGCGTCGTGTCTTTGTTGGCTGTACTGTGAGCCACCAGGGCGTGAAGCATTTCCTCGCCACTCTCTTCCTCGGTGTTGATGTCCGCCAGCGCGTACGCACCTGGCTGGCTGGGCCGACTGTACTTGCACACCCTCGCCAGATGTCCCTTGGTGCCGCACCTGTGGCATATGGTCTTGCGGTGCCGGCAGTCGTCCTCGGAGTGGTTCGCGTCGCACCTCCAGCACCAGGCGCGTCGATTCGCACCGCTGGTGTCTTGTCTTGGGGGCCTCCAGTTACCCCGCCGACCTTGGACGAAATGCGTACCGCCGGCTGAGTCCTGGGGGGCCGTTCCCATTGCCCTGACGTTGTTATCGGCCATCTCAGACGCGATTACGAATTCCTCCGCCTCTTCCCGGCTCAACTTTTTACGCGTCAGCAAAACCCGTCGCGCTTCGTCATCCCGTATGCCGCAGACGATTCGGTCTCGCAGCATCCGGTCCAGGGTGTCGCCGAACTTGCAATGCTTCGCGAGCCGCCGCAACTCTGCCACAAAGTCTTGTACTTTCTCCCCCTCTTCCTGTTTCCGCACGAAGAACGAGTAGCTAGCTGCAATCTCGTTGGCTTGCGGGTCGTAGTGTTCTTCTAGGTAGCCAACCACGTCTGCGTAGGACAGGCTGTTGATGGACGCCGATTGACAGCGGCCTTGCAGAATTCGGACCACGTTGTCACTTAGGGAAGACACCAGCAACGCGCGACGTTTCGCCGCGTCCGTGATACCGTGACCCTCGAAGTACGCCTCCAACCGGACCCGGTATGTGCCCCAGGTGCCTGCCGTCTCGTCGAACTGCGGCGGGCGTGCCGCCATATCGGTTTACCCTCGTCGCCACTGAAACGTCGACCAGACTCGCCGGTGGCCGGGATATGAAAACGTGGTTTATTGGCAAGCGCTCTCTTTTTACCTCCCGCGCCGGTGACGTATGTCCGGCACGGGCATGCGCTGGAAGTTGGAACGCGCCGCTCCTGGTTGCGGTGACGCAGCCGTACGGCGATACAGCAGCTATTGCGGTATCACAAAACGTACGATTGGACTAGGCGCAAGAGCAGTTCCGATCAGTCAGGTAGAGATGGTACGATATTTTACTGCTTTGCTTTGCAGATATCAAACCTTTGTAGCAAATATTAATACACATTCATAAAATGCCGGCCGGAAAGCGAGTTTGCCACGACGAACACAGGATTGACCCTGGCCTATGGGTAGGGTTCCGCGTTTTCGGTTTCTATTATTTCAAAATTCGGCGTACTTTTTTCGGTGTTTATTTTAAAATTCAATTTTCGTTTTTTTTTTTTTTTGTGTATATTTGTGCCCAAAAAAGTTTATCGGCTTCTTTCGGTGAATTAAAATAAACACTAACGGACACCGGATCAGACGATCCTTGTAGCTTTGATATTTGTGATCACTCAAAGAATAACTGCACAGATAAATTGAAAAAGAAATCAATACTTTATTTGGCAAATGTGTGCAACTGTAAAAGAAACAACAAAAAAAGACGGAAGTACAAACAAGTCAGATATGAACCCTATGCCCAAAACACATGGAACTTTACTTTCTGTACATCGGGATTACGTGATCTTATTATAGTACACACACATGCACTTTCCCAGGTTTTCTTCGTTGATCCGCATTTTTTCTTTTTTGTTAATATGACCGTGAGCTTCGAGAATGACCTCTTAACGCTAACACTGGACACTAGCGGGCTGAGGAGATGAAGCGCTGCCTGAGCGAAAATCGGCCAATCAACCAGTTGTGACCGCCAAAAGAGACACGGTGCGACGTTTTGAAGCACAGCACAACATGCAGAGCTTGCATCTAGTCTTCCTTACAACGAGTTTGAAAACAGGCTCGTACATGGCGAAGTCATGGGGCATTTCGGACTTCAAGTTCCGATCGATGATGCGCACATTAAACCATAACGTCATGATGGCATCCGTGTATCCCATACATTTGGACACCTTTCGGTCGGCACTGTCGTTCCACTTTTTCGCCACGGCTCTGCGGTACGACTGGAAGGTCTAAGTGACCTTTTCCGGTTAAAACTGAATTTTAGAAAATGAATTCAACGTACTTTTATCGGTTTTTATTGGTTTAAGTCGAAAATGGCGAACCTACAAACTGACCTTTCTCGGTTAAAACCGAATTTTTCAAAATGGATTCGGCATACTTTTATCGGTTTTTATCGTTTTAAACCGAAAACTCCGAAACCTACCTATGGGCCTCATGTGGCATGGGGGAGGGGAAAGGGAGCATTAGTGCTGACGATGGGTTAAATGTACCGCCCAGTACCGGAGGACCAGAGATAGGAGATGATTAATGAAACGATTAGCGCTCGGTCAGCAGGTGCTGACGCCCTCGGGTGGGTCCATTCCCGTAGGGTCGCCGGTCGGAGGGGCAGAGGTAGACTGTTGATCGCCGCCACCCGTTCGCGAGATGTCCCCTGACAGGACCGTACGAGGTGATAGCAAGTCGCGGGGAAACCACATGCAGTGCATGCAGTTCGGGTCAGGACCTCTGTCCTGCTGGTCCGTTGGCCTGTGGAACTTGGCACGCCAAACGGGGGTCACCATGCTGCGACTCTGTTGTCTGTGCAGGGCCATTTGCTTCCATCGTGAAGCCCTCTTTGGGATTGATAAACGAAGGCTCAAAACGAGCCCCCCCCCTCTCCCCTTCCCGCTTCCTTATTGTCTGATAATGTCTATAATCTTGGTGGTCTGCAATGCGCGTTGCAGAGGCGTTTTAAAAACTAATCGTAAGCTCTCACAGAGTAGGAACGGACCAAACTATGTCCGCCGGTGAATGCCACCTACGCCACCACGACGCACTTGAGCGAGTAGGAAATCAATAACCTTCGTGCGCGATCGCCGAACAGCGCTTGCGAACTACGGCCTCTAAAATATAGCCTAACAAGCAGAAATCATAAACACGGTGAAATAAGTGGCAGTACGAACAAGAAACCTCCTTGAAAACGAGGGGCAGATCAGGGCATAAGGCAACTTGACAAATAGCCAACCCGCTGAATGCCAGCTGAAAAGCTGGCGATCGCGGTTTCCCATTTGTGTAATACTTTTGCAGTGCTTGTATATAGTCTCCCTAAATTCATATACAATTTATTCTGGTTTGACTTTTGACCGGAGTCACCCATTAACTTGTTCCAGTATTTTGGGGGGAGAGAGGTAGACATCCGCCAGCGTACGAACATCGCGTTTCCAAATACGGAGGAAACTTACGCTCCATTCTACTAGCTTAATCATTTTTATTTCTTGCATATTTCGTGGCTGCTCGAGCTATTAAAATTATAATTTAGATTTATGGGTTTCTCAATGTCTCAATTTATATCTTTGAACTTTCAAGTGCCCAAAATAGCCGCATCCTTTTTATTAGTGAAAACTATGAAGTAACGATACATGGGTTGCACTGACGCCACGTCACATATTTTTGGCCTCCACGTAAGAGGAGGAGAGGGAAGCTGCTTTTGTAAGAATTTTGACTGACGGGTTTATCTTCTATAATCTTCAGGGAGGGGAATAGCGACGACTGTGCAAATCCGGAAGGCACAAAAGAGGGTCCTGATAAGAGGGGAGCTTCTTCTTGCCCTCCTCTCTGGTGGTCATCGTAGCGCTCTTTGAATGACGTCACGTGCAACCCATGTATACCTAAATACAAACTGCACACTAAAAAGATAAAAAAAATTCAAGCACTTCTAAAGCACGAAATCAATCATATTCTTTAGTCACGAAACAATGAATATTAAATGCGTAAAAGTATATTATTCTAGAAATGGCAAAAAAAAAAAAGGTCGGAGCTGGAAATGTTAACGTCAGATGATTTTACATGACTAAAATTGCATCGCGTTACACTTGACGGCGACATTGAGGTAACAGGTTCCACATAAAATGCGCTCAGGCGACGAGCATTTCGCAGGGTTCATGATAGTTTGTGCATAGAACCAGGATCCTGGGTAGGGATGTCGCGAACCACCCTAGGTTCGATTTCGAAAGGTTTCGATATTTGCGAAGCGAACTGAGGTTCGATTTCGAAAAATTTCGATATTTTCGTACCAACTGAGGTTCGATTTTAAAAAATTCGCAACTTTTGACCACAGCGAAGTTTCGAATTCGAAAATTTCGTAGCTTTCACGGTTTCTAAAATTTCGAATTCGAATATTTCGAATATTTTTTTACTTCAGGTTCGATAAATTCGAAGATTTCGAAATTCTTTGTAAAAAAAATTCGAAAACTTCGAACGCTTTGAATTTTTATAGACATGAAGTTCGAACAAATCGAAGATTTCGAATTTCTTTTTGCATAAAGTTCGAAAAGTTTGAAGGTTTCGATTCTCTTTTAACGCTAAATTAAAAAAAAAAAAAAAAAAAAAAAAAAAACTTTGCAGATTTTGAATTTCTGTTTAGTCCAAGTTTTCAAAGTTCGAAGTCCGATTTTCAAGTTTTTCCACAGTTTCAGTTTCAAATAACGTTTTCACGACTCACTGGTTTTCACAAGTTTAGAAAAGTTAGGGTGTGATATCTAGATTCTGCGAAGTTGGTCAGGCAATGAAATGAGACGACGAGTGTCCCGGACGTGCTAGAATATTTGCCAGTGCAGAATTGCGACCGCCAGCCTCGGGGGGGGGGGGGGGGGGGGGGGGGGGGTGTCTTTAACCTGCATCACGCAGTAGTGATTGCACGAACACACTGTTTTACGAGACTCATCCAGTTCGAAACGGCCAGGGGCGAGCAGGAGGTTGAGGCTCAGAAAAACCTTGAAGCGACCTGGCAAACTAGCTCGCCACCCCTTGCACGCTGGTAGTAATCCGATCCGGTGAAGTTTATAATTGTCCTGGAGGTTTATTTTCTGGGACGGAGGAATCGCCTCGCAAAAAGCACAAAAGCCGACACAAGTCGAGGTCGAAAAGCGTTCTACCATACACGTGGCGTCGGAAGAGGAAAAACGGGGGGAAAGAGGGTAGCGGGGGGGGGGGGGGGGGAGGGGGGGGGGCTTGAGCCTCCTTTTCCCCCTTGCAGGTATTTCGGACTGTTAAAGAAAACAATACGGGGAAAGAGGGCGTGGTCGAGCTTATTTTAATCTGAAATTATTTATGCATGTGTATAGCTACTGTCGCTCTTCACTGCATAAAATGTTGCGTAGATGGTCATTGTTAGAAACTCGTTGTCAGAAGGCACTGCTCGTCACATGCTAACTGGTTCGGAAGTTCAGAGCTGTCTTTTCGACCTAAACACCTGTGCCAATCGTAACAAAAAAAAAAAAAAAAAAAAGAATAAATGCGGGAATAAAAAGCAGGAAAAAAAAAAAACTATCAAGAATTCGTCGGAAGTGTTCTATTCTTGCATATTCAGAGGTTCAGAACTTCGAAACAAGTTTCTTTTACCAAAATGTGTACAGGCTAAAAGAAACACGTCCCAGGAACGTGAAGCGAAAAAAAAAAAAAAAAACAAGTTTTCTTTTAATGACGTGCTGAACTTGAACACGATTAGAAATCTTCCATGAGTTAATTTATTCCTTAACGTGAAAAAAACAATAAATATATTATTTTGTATTCTGCAGATGGCAATGATATGTACTGTCTGTGGTGTTAATTTAAATGCGATACCTCAAACAACTTAGACGAAAATAAATATCAAGTTTTGGTCATAATTGCATGCAGATACATGTTTGGACATTTCTTCGAAACTCACGTTGAATAACAATAATCACATCTTAAGACGGCACTTAAATAGGCTATACATTAATCATTTTTAAAAAAGTATAACATATCTACCATAAATAGCTCCGGCTGCAGCGTGCTTCAAATCTGGCACAAACGATAATCGTCAAAAACCCGTCGTCCCTCCTCGCCCCTTCGGGGATTTATTTCTTTAAACCTAAGCATGCCAGAACATTGAAATAAACGACATTGCCTTTCGTAAGGAACGCAGCACCGCGTGTAAAAGTTCGAGAAAAAAAAATTACGAATGTACCCCACTACTTGAAATCAAATGAAACCGTCCGCCGGTCTTTCGAAGTTCAACGAACGTCGAACTTTTACCCTAAAAGGTCGAAGTTCGTCGAACTTCTGACTTTTCAGAAATCGAAAGTTCGCAACTTTTCGAATTCTCTTGATAAATAAGTTCGAAAGTTCGAAATTCATCGAATTTTTTGGTCAGTCAAGTTCGAAAGTTCGACAAGCATCGAACCTTGCAGTGCAATAAGTCGAAAGTTCGAAAAAGATCGAATTTTTTAGCGTAATAAGTTCGACGGTTCGAAAAGCGTCGAACTTCTTAGCTTAACAAGTTCGAAAATTCGACCTCCGTCGAATTGTACGATATAGGCAATTCGAAAAATCGAAATCTTTCGAACCTTTCGACCCGCTTGATTCGATCATCGAAACTTCGATTCGAAAAAAAGTTCGCGGCATCCCTAATCCTGGGTTCAATCCCCACCCCTTCCCGTTTCGATCTGGATGAGCATCGTACCGGCGTGCGGTCGTGTATCCCTACAGCGTGATGCACACTAAAGACCCCAGTGTAGTGGTTGTACTGCACTGGCGAAATTGCTCATCTACAGCACTGCACTGGCTAAATTGCTCATCTACAGCTGGGAGACTCGTCGCCCGTTGAGGAAGACCAAGTTCTAGGCTGTATAAACATACACGCAACCCAGTTTTTTTTGTGTGCATAGAACACTTGTACTCCCGCGGACATTATGAGTTGCAACAGCCGGTACGCCCTTTTTCTTACGTCTGTGTTATCCAAAATTTCCCTGGACGTCTCAGGTATGGGACCTCAACTGGGCATTATATTCCTATATAGGACCAGTGCTTTTTCAAAAACTGGCAAGCACGCGGTAAACACATGAAGGACTATTTCAGCTCATATTGACCGCGATGGATCCAGGTATACGAATTGTGGCCTCCTTGCGTTTGAAAAGGCTGTACGAGTCAGAGCCAAAAGAATCCTATGGAACGTGGTGCGCACCTTAATGCTTAAAATACGAAAACGAGGCAACACAATACAGAGTTGATTATTTTATTCACGACATTGAACATTGTTCGGAACGTGGGCGGCGACGCTCACTCAGTGTGATGGATATATGATACGCGTATGTACATTTGCAAAAAAGTTGTATTTCGTCAGTTTATTTGTGTACACAATGCATTTTGTTTGCGCAGAGGCCTGCGCAATAGGTCAGAATGGCCTCCTTCTTTTGCTCGCTTCCTCTACTCATATGCCCTCTTTCAACCCTTCCCCAATCTACCACAATATTATTCCCCGCCCCTTCTAGAGGTGAGCGCGTAGAGCTAACACCTAGAAAACGAGGCTTGTCTGCTTACGCCATCTAACGGAGGTCAGGTACGGGCACATACAGTATTGGACATCAGATGCTTTGTCTGCTTCGTTCGGCTGAGACTCCCTGTCCACTGGTCTCCAATCTGTGCAGACCTCCATTAGGTGACGTAGGCAGTGCAGCACTACAGCCTTTTTTTTTTTTTTTTTTAATAGGGGGTGTTGGTAAGGCCTTGTGCTCCTATTTTACTATGTCGTTTTCCTCCTTCAGCTTTGCAATCTGTCAAGAGAAATCTAAGAGGATATTCTACCGAGCAGAAACGGGAGCAATATCAAATCTACTAGCGTTTTTTAAATAACATTTATGTAAACGTTATCTCTAAAACATTTATATAAGTACAAAACGTTTTATATATAAACGTTCACGTATAAACGTTTAATAACGTTTATTTCATTGTTTCGTAACTCGTCTAGCCTGTTCGGCCAGACGTCTACGTTCACGTCGCTCTTCACCAGATAATTTAACGCGTGGCATGTGTAGAATTGAAATGATAAACCTGGTGATATTTCGGAATCTTCTAACCTACTCCTCCTCTCCAACCTCGCCTCCTCGCCCAACTCTCATCTTCACTTCATTCCTGGTCACACGACCAACTCTTTAACCTATAAAAGTCGAGCACCTCATTCCCACTGTCCCACCCGCCAACCAATCAGTGTCGAGCTTTTATACAGGCCTCACTTTTGGGCTTCACGAAATGACGAACACCTATCCGAAGAACGTTTCGGGCTGAAAGTCACAATGTTCTAAGGGTGCCGTTGCGCCAAGTAGAATGAATGAGGTAAGAATATTTACAATACGCTCTGTACAGGTCATTATTAATTATTAGTTTATCTTACTTATCTTTACAGCTCTTTATAACAAAAATAATAATCCAGTCACAGCGATACTTTCTGCAGTGGTAGATAATTTTTTAAGAGTGTGGTTTCAACTGGTTAAAGAGTTTTGTGAGCTTATTGCCAACCTCCTTTGCTCATGGAATACGACCTCTGTGCTCACAGCGTCTTCACTATGATTTCATTTAGGTTAACCGTCGGTACCTTGTTTTCTTCGTATTTAATTTCGTCCACTCAGTTCGTATTCTTTCCATTCCTTTCCTCCCAAAAAACGCCCATATCAAATGTAGCTCTTCTTTTGATGTTCCGTATGGGCAGGCTGATTTATCAGCATGTCGTATGTAACTGATATGATATAGTTCATATATTGCTAAGCATGAAACCAATGTAACCTCATCAACCTCCACACTCTCAGAAGAAAGGGTACAGTCTTACACCCCTTGTCTTATCTAATGAAACTGAAATCTTCTGTTCGACACACAGCGCACTGTCGTCGAACCGACGGGACATACTTTACATACTTCGACCACTTGATAGCCAAGTGGTAGAACTTAAAATAGCTCTTGCACGTGTTACTGAATACAGAAAGTCGGGTTTCTCGGCCCCACATCAAAACCTCAGTGACAAGGCTGTGAGTGCGCAGGCCAGCTGGTGGTAGCTAATGATGTCGCTTAACACCTGCGACTGTGGTGAAGAAAATGAAGAACTTTGCGTCGAAGGAACAGACAAAAAAAGGGAAGGTCTCAGATACATAAATGTATTTAAATTTATTTTTAAAAAATGCTCGTAGATTTGATGTTACCCTCCCGTTTCTGCTCGGTAGAGTATCCTCTTAGATATCCATACTTCCAGATTGCAAAGATAAGGCAGCAGAACGACAAAGTAAAATAGAAGGACACGAACCAACACATTCTAGTTAAAAAAAGCTGTAGTGCTGCACTGAGACGTTCCCTTCTGTTCCTGTTCCTTCGACTAAAAGTTCTTCATTTTCCTCACCCCAGTCTCAGGCGATAAACGAGACAAAACCTGAGTGTATTTTATTATCGTTTTGCCACATACTTTGGCTGTTTAATAAGTTCTATCGCGCCGTTATTCAGCCCCTCGTAAAAGTTGGGGCCGTCAGTTTGATGGCAGTGCGCTGCACAAGTAGTAGATGAGATAAAATGAGTAATACTACACCCCTTTTTAGACTGCACCAGTTGTCAGACTAACTGGGTATCTGTACAGTTGATTACAGCTCTCCCTCCTCCACTTAAAGAATACAGCCCTGTATGCCACATCTGGAATCCTTGCCGCAAAATTCCGCTGACTGTTAAATCTAGTTTTTTTTTTTTTTTTTTTTTTTTTTAGTGTTACGACGGATAGAAAATGCGCAAAATAACCTCTGGTAAGACATAAGGGCCTCAACAGACCGACAAAAGGGCCGAAACAGAAAAACTTTCACATGAATGGAACTTTTTTGAGCTCGGAATAAACAAACTCGGCGAGTAAAAAGTCAATGTGTGTCGTGTTCAATGTCCCGAGACAGTAATTGTGCGATTGAGGACGGCGGATAAGGAATCATTCGCTACAAAGTCTTCTGCCCATGTCGGGAAGCTGTTGAGATCAAAGATGAAGACTCCCAGGGTGTTGATGCTGACCAGCATGATGCAGATGCAGATGCACTTGACCACGAGCCCAGGCAAGATCTGAAAATATTAATTTCAACATAAACAAATGCATGGCAAATCCTGCTTCTGCTCATATTCATCACGGCTGTCATGAGCGCGCCTTTATCACGCGCACAATTTTGTGCTTGAATGACAAGGCGACGAGCTCAGAGTTCACTCCAGGATTCACACGATGCGCTTGAATATTATGTATATAACTAACACGACGTCTGCTTAGCTGCTTAAAGGAATACTTCAACGAAACGTGAAATACACCCGTCGTTACAAGGATAGGGCCAGCTTGAACTTTGGAGACGAAAACAACGTGAAAAACAAAGAAAGAAGTTTCGCAAGTTCAAGCTGGCCCTATCCTAGTAATGCACCAACTAGCTCAACTCAAGCCCGGATACCCGTCGCATTCAGAAATTGGCTGATTATGATCCACAACATCGGTAAATGGCAATCGCACTTTTGTATTTGGAGGTTAAAATCAAAATCAAATTTGGGGGTTTTACGTGCCAAACCAACGAAGGGCATCTGGCACGCCCCAGCGGAGGACTGAGGATTAATTTGGACCACCTGGGGATCTTTTGACGTGCAACCGAAAGCTCGGTTACACGGCACCTCCTCCGCAATAAGCCTCCGTCATATTGCGGGCACCTCGGCCGGGATTCGAACCCGCCACATGGGGATCCGTAGGTCAGCGCTCTCGCCTCGGAGCCACCGAGGCGGCTTATTTGGAGGTTCCATCTTTTGTTATGAGCGGCCCACTCTGGCAAGCGCTCGGAGAGCAGCCATCTCAGAGCACGTGACATCCGGCGCAATCGTGACGTAACCTTTCTCGGAACGAGCAAAGCTGCGGCACGAGGCTGATGTCGACAGAACGATTGCAAGCAGGCAAGGAGGGCATCTGGCCGCCGCCATGCCTCTGCTCGTGAGGGCAAGTGCATGCGATTACAAGCTTGCCAAAGCTACGTTCACGCGCACGATGCACATGCTTGCACGCATGAAACACCAGTGAGGTTATAGTTCTGGGCGAGACAGGCATCGTCACTACCTGTCAATGTTCCTAGACAGACATTACAAACGAGGCATTAGCGACATCCACCAGGTTCCATTTGCTAATTAATAGTTCAATTCGTTTCAAAAGTCCTTTTCGTGTATTCTTCAACAAGAAATTGGGGTCTCCGATGTGATACTGCTCCCTGAAACACGTATAAACCAAGAAATAAGCGTCGAACTTTCGTATTAGTGCCCCTTTAAGGGTTAATGTTGCAATGCCTTACACCCCCTCCCCTTCCCCTCCCCCCCCCCCCCCCCAAAAAAAAAAACAACAAACAAACAAACAAACAATAACTAGGTATATTTCTGTAAATGTTGCGTCTTGTAACAAAGAATGAATACCGTAAGGAATGGTATTTACTGCGTAGTGAGAAAACCAGTCAACGGTTCAGCTCGACCTGAGTTTTTTTTTTAATTGTTTATTTCTAACACGCTTCAACTTGCCGGAAGGCCTCCCCTCTGGCGTTCGCTCCGCTAAACTGGAAAGAGTGCAGGGCTTTGTGGGAGAGGCCTGTAATGCTTTTGTTAGCCCAGGACTTTTTCTATCCGGGCGCCGTCATCTGGAATAGCGGAACTCCCGGTATGTGGGAAAACATCATTTTGCTCTTGTCCCACAACTGGGAGAAGCTCACGTTTTAATCAAGATGTGTGTCATCCTTGACTTGTCTTCTTTATAATCTTTAACTTGTCCTTTTTTTTTTTTTTTTTCATCCCGCATATCGGATTTGTCAAACTACGTGGCTGAGACTTGAGTGCCTTCACCCTAGCTGGGACGAAGGTAAACGAAATAGGCCCATAGGTGGCAGAGCGAAGCGGCGCGCATCGCTTCCGTCTTACTTCTTTGCTATACCACTAAGCAAATCTCATGGCGTTTTCATGGTGGGAACAGCACGAATGAAAATGAGGGTTGAAGAAGTGAATGGGCAAGACCAGGAATAGCCACAGACTCGCCCCACTTTCCATTCTTTCATGTATGTCTCACTCGCAAGTTGTAATTCTTAGCAAATTCATTCCAAACTTTTTTTAGATTTGGCAATTAGCGGATCTCCGATCCTTTGCTCGTATTTTTATGCATTTTATGTTTTGAGATACTGACGTAACATAGATATAAACACATATACAGATATATGGGATGGCTCAATAGGTGATTTCGGAGGAAAATTAAGTTGCGAAGCAAGCGCTACATAGTGGGCTTTGCGAAATTTTGTTTGGAAATGTGGTATTCAATTTCCACGTAATTAAGATTGCTTGGCGTGACACACACGAGAAGCAAAAAGTGACGAATTGAAAGTGTGCACAAGGGACAATATCGCAGAGATTTCAAACTCTATATAGTCACAAAAATTCCGCTTTGGCTTGTATTATCTGCTCTGCTTTTCCCGTCACTATTTTACTGCCTTAAAGAAGAAGAAAAAAATGTAATCGTAAGAAGCTGTGCTTGCGCGAGGATAACTTATTATTATTAAAACGGCTGCTCAATGTCCTCTCTCAGCACCGCGGCCCCTCTCCCTATATATCTCCCTCCCCCAGTTCGCCCAGCCATAATTGTGCAAAGGCGTCGGCAATCACGGCGTCACGAGTATTCATCCGACGCCGTGATTGGTCGGCGGCGTTTCAGCCTCTTTAGCCTTCTTTCTCCTCTGCTACAAACCGCCATTGCCGAGCATATGTACCAAAGAATTAATCGCTCTACTTTTTATTGTACAGGGGCCTTAACCAGCACCTTTATGAGGCCAGCGCGGGTCAGAGGAATAACAGGAGTGCTGCGTAAGCGTCAGACTGGAAGTTGGAATTCATGTCTTCACCGACTGAACACGAGTCCTAGCCGAACGTTGACTTAGCACTCGTGATCAGTCCGCTCCGGCCTCCAGCAGATGATGTAGAAAATCCAAAACTACGTCCCGGTTATCTAAGAGGCATTGACTTCCGCGCTTTAGAAACCGTGCTAAAAATGTGTACGTCAGCGAGTAGTGTTTGCTGGACGCGGGTCAACCGGGGACCTCCAACGGCATCCACTGACATCATGGCACCGACGTCCGCTCACCATTTCTGCCGGGAGAATGTTGGCGTGGCTGGCCACAATGGCGTTGGCCGGCGTGCCCACGGGGAGCATGAAGGCGTACGAGCAGGAGAGTGCCACAGGAACGATGATCATGAGCGGGTTGAGGTGGAGATCTGTCGCCTGGAGATTTGCATGCGAGACACAAGCCTATAGTTAGCAAAGGTGGAAGAAAACGTCCCGGAGAGGTCTTAATGTATCAAAACCATGCCAAGTGGTCGTACCAATTGGGCCATGATTGGTAGGAAGATAGTTGCGGTAGCTGAGTTGGACACGACTTCTGTGATGAACGCAACGATAACGGAAACTACAAAGATGATGCATTGCGGCGACATGAAGCTGAACGATGCAAGCTGGTGTCCCATCCACCGGGACAGTCCAGACACCTGCCGAGAAAACGACACACTTAGCACGAGCAGGTACACGTGATTAAACAAAAAATTCTAAGTAGGGTGGTAGCTAAAACTGACAAGTATTATCCAGACATGCGCACCTTTAGGGACGGTCAATTACGTAAAGAAGTCGAGCTTAATGATGTGAGATTAAAGTAAGGCTTCTTTTTGAAGTCAAATGATCAGCCTTTTCAAAAACAGCGACACTTGACACGAAAACCATAACCCTTCTAAGTCTAGGCAAAGAAACGATCGGAAGAGCAGTAAGATGGAAAACATTGTCTAGTTGCTATTTTACAAACGTTGAAAACGCCCAGTGAATAAGAACTTAAAAACACAATCACTTTAAACTAACAGCTGAACATTGATGTACATTTATTTTAGTGGCGCACTGTGTGTGTGTGTTTTATGGCCCATGTTTCCTGGCGCTCCCAGTACTCTTGCAACCTGAAGAGTTTAGCGATGGGCAGATGTGATATGCCATTCATCTTGTTGTAAGTCAAATGTGCTTAGCGTAAAACCAAGATTTACTTGGACTCACATTCGTGGCTTCTGCCATAGCGAACCCTCCGCCTCGAAGAAGGACAACACCCCAGGGCAAGCGCTTCTGGACGACGTCCCAGGTGAGCAGCGTAGGGCTGGTTCCCAGCTTCCGAGGGTCAGCAGGTATCACGAACAGAAAGAACACCACGAAAAGTGCCGCTGTGGCGTCTTTGGGCTTCCTGAAAAAGTGACCACGCACGGTGGTAGCTATCGTCCATACAACTCCTCACACGAGTGCTTGTTGACTACTTAAATTAACACCGGTCATTGTCGATTAGTACTAATACTGCGAGTGTGGTCTGCTTGACAAATACTAGCGTGAAGGCAGCCTATAGGTAATACGAACCTACATACTAATAATAGTAAGAAATGTGAATTATTGAATAACCTTTTCCAGCATTTCTTGGAAAAGCTGTAGATATCCGCCAGCGTATGAACTTCGCGTTTCCAAATACGGAGGTATCTTCGCTCGCCCTTACAAAAATTATTAATGAGCTTGAATTGTGTTTCTAAGAATACACTTGGAACTCAATTGAAACTCATTGATAATTTTTGTAAGGATCCGTGATATGTTTAATAATACGTATTTATTTGTTTTTATTGGTATATTTTGTGGCTTGTGTAGGTATCGGATTTATGAGTGTGTCAATAATGGCAATGGTTGTATTGCCTTATCTAATCACTATATCAGCACAGAACCACACATCATATCGGCATTTTTAACGCAAGAGTCTAGGGGGTAAGGCTGCCTCGGAGAGCTCCTGATCGAGCGGTGCCTTCTCGTTAGGAGGTTAATTCTCACGTGTTGGCGATGGACAATGATTCTGACAATTAATCATGAACGCGTCAAACGCACATGGAAAGAAAGGTTCACTTACAAGTCTCCAAAAAACGTCGACCACCCTCTCGCGAAGTGAGGGTCTCTGAACATCCACAGCAGAACAAGTGAGGCCAGCATGACCAGCACAGCAAACTCGTGAAACCTGAGGGAGATACACAAATTTAAAAAGGAAGCTTTAATATGTAGCAATCTAGAAACTTCTCAAATTTTATATGTTCTGCTGATGTCATAATTACATAAATAAATGTTTTACTTTTTTGTTTCGTCTAAAGTATTTTACGCCGTTTTTGTTTTGAAAGTAGGCAAATATTTACACAAATATAACGGCACAACATTCAACCTTGTGGTATTAAATATGTTATCCGTTTTCCTTCGTCGCTATACCAACAATTTCATTTTCAAAGCCGTTATTAATTAAAAAAACCCGATTTATGTTTATAATTTTGCTGTATATAAAAATATTCACCACGGTATTTAGGCTATGCATATTTTAATTATACAATTGAAGGTTCACAGAAATGTAAAAGATTGTGTGAAGTTTGAGCTAAACTAACCATAATCTCTTCATACGTACAGAGTCCAACATGTCAAAGTATAGGCCTGTATGTCATTAATTACGTTTCGGGTCGCGCTGAGCGTTATTAATAGGGAGCAAACATAACCAATTGTAATTAAATACCCTGGGATATAGTGCAAAGATATGAGCGCGTGCTTTGGATACGTTTTGTATTTTTGTATGTAGGACTAAGTTTGTTCATTGAAAATGCGTGCATGGAGATTTAAAGCGTATATATACGTTCCACAACATTCCTTCCTGTAATAACTTCGGTGCCAACAGTAACCAAAATAAATGTATAGAAGAATCAAGTATGTCTTACGTGATTGGCCCCAACTCGTCGTACTTCTTGTTTATGACCTTCTTGGCTGCATGTCCCTTTCGGTCAAGCCCGACGGACCTGAAAAAAGGGTTTAGCGCAAACTCATCAGTGAATGAAACTTCGCATACTACAATTCATCCCCCTGTCAACTTTCTTACCCCAGCTTCTGGTAAAGCACCTGGAACGCTGCCCACACGACAAACACGCTAATGATCACACCGGGCGTTGAATACAGCAACCAACTGGCGTAGTCGATCGGGGGAAGTCCTCCGTAGAACCTAGATCAAAGAACGGAGGAAACCAAGTGTTCATCCCGCTGCTAGGAAGAATGCAGAATCCAGAAACAGGCCCCAGATTCCTCAACGACGGGAACCATACTGCTATTGCGCCAACGCGGAGGGGAAGTCGTCTGGTTCTTGCGCATGAGTTGTAGTGACGTCAGAAGGACACCGAGCTCTGATTGGCTTATATTGAAAGGATAGTGGGTAGACCCCAATACTATATGCCTTGACGTCTACCCACTATCTTTTTTTCAATCAGCCAATAAGAGCTCGGAGTTCTGGCAGCATCGCAACCCTTGTGCAAGAAGAAAACCAACTTGCGCACCGCATGAAGTGTTCGTTGCAGTAACCCCCAATACCAGATCGGGTTTTGGTGAATTTAAATTCATATCTCACAGTCGTGTGGAGTAAACAGGACAAGGCGGAGTTCACGCATTTACAGTAAATATTTCGTATGCTATTTAACAATTATTTAACAATGAGTGGCATCATTGCGAAACCGTTGGATTATCGACGTTGTTCTTGCCCCAGGAACTTATCCAGACATCTTCCTTACTTTCAGCATAGACCCTTTTTTCTAAAAAAAAAATGCTTCGCTATATTTTTGCAAACGTTTGTTAAGGCTAGTTCTTCACTATTTTTCAGAAATCTAATATTTATAACATAAATATTTTTTCCGCGTACCGAAAGACTCAGTGGGCTTTGGCGATAGTGCGGTTGCGGCCACCGACTCACATAGCTCAAGTATTTAATTTCGCATTCGTATTCCTGTTAATTTTTCTGAAACAACGAAGTTTTATATATTCTCCTTCCAATATGCAATGATGGCTATGTTCATCACTGATAAGCATAATTAAGGGGCGGGGTGGGCGGTACAGCCGCAGCAAAGAAACACTGTGGTTATCTTAACGACCACACTGAACCGTCGCTGCAACGTAGCAATGTTTAGGGAATTCAAATGGCAAAAAACTGCGTTGGATATATCACGGAGTCAAACTGTAAAATAGAAAGTGTTGATAAAAGAACTAATATATTGAACAAAAGAAGACCAGCTCAAACGCTTCTTAGGGGACATTGACATCGTCCTCGGTAAGTGAGAGAAGCACAAAAATCCTAAAACCCCGGTATACCATCGCTCTATCCTGTCCAAGACTGCATCACTCATAATGCATTGCCCTTCGGTGTAGTAGTACTAGAAAAAAAAAAATAAGCATAGCTACGCAAAACTCGATGCTCACTCTTCTACGACGAACTTAAGAATGAGATTTGGGCCAGCGCTGGTCAGCGTGGCGGTGCCTCCAATGTTAGCAGCGAAGGCAACGCTCAGATAGAGACTCTTGCTCAGCGTCCTATTGGCCTGCTGCAGCCTCTTGACCGTGCTGGGATCGGGCGTGGCAGGCTTGGTCTTCAGCGCCGGTGCCTCAAGCTGCGCGGCGAGTCTGAAAACATCCAGAAAGGAGCCCCTGCCTTAATTGAGGTCCTTGTCACTGTCGTCCGAAGACGGCGGGCGGGAATGTGCAATACTTTACTTTGCTTTTTGGCAGGATGATCCGTCGTCACTGCTGTTTAAAGGCTTGTACGCTTCTGTAAGAAGGGTCATTGTTAGCGTTGTACTAAAACGAATGGTGGCGCGAAAATCAGATTTGCTTGAAAAAGACCACACAGGTGATGAGCAGCCCCCTTTTACTGCTCATATATGTCGCATTTTTTGCACCTGAGCTTGAAAACGCAGTTCGTCAATGATATCTGATTGGCCAATGAGGTTTTAAGCCTATATTAGAGACAGACTTCAAGACCTTTTGCGATTTGCCTCCTGCTTCGAAGAGAGGAACAAGAACTAAAAAACGGTCATGGCTTAATTTTGCTTAAATCAGCGCCATGCATATGCACTGCTACAGTGTGCGCAGATGCCTGTCGTCTGTACGTCTGCGCAGATGACAGGACTCTCCACCACAGCACGTGCACCAAATTGTACCTAAATGCCTCAATACTTAGATTAAATTATAAAGCGTAAACCACACCCGAGCTCTTTTAAATGAAGTGAAAAAGAAACTTAATTCAACAAAGCTTGATTACTTTTTTTTTTTTTTTCATTTCCGGTATGCTCCAACAGCTATATGCACAGCGTTACCGCCAGGCTCGAAACAGCATAGAGCATACCATGGATAAGGGTTCTCATGCTCGGAGTTCTATCCCTCGCTCTACGGTAATTTTGTGTATCCGATTAAAACCGGTCGCTAGTAAAAGAACACAGCAATAAGTTGTAGAGACGACGGTGTTCTTAGACTTCCGCTGACGGTTGACGCCAGCGGTTAACGTACCATCAAGGGCTCCAAGACAGCTGCGCGGCTCTGGCCTTCAGATTGCTCGGGCATCTTTATCGACGGGTGGACAAAAAGAGAAAGATCCATCTGTTCATCGGTCGGCAAAGACGTCGCAGCATTCTGGTGCCAGCAGATCGCGACTGCGAGATCAGGCCACGTGTGCCGCCGTTGGCGTCCTTTTGCGATCGCCGGTTTGTGGACACCAAAGCAGCCGCACACATCGGAGTGATTCGCCAGATAAGAGATGGAGCCACGCATATCGATTGTTTCGGAAGAAATTGCACATAAAACAAGTGCCGCCAATGTCTGCCGCGTGTACTCCGTACTACTGCCCTTGAAACACTTAATCAGCGTAATCAATAAGAATGACGAGTGGTCCTGTAGCGCCAGTGATAAACGGGGGTGTACGCCTTTCTTACACTGAAAGTTCATGATCATGGGCGCGCTATACAGCCTTGTCTCTCTCGTAACGTATTTATCTCAAGGACGCATAAAGCGGTCTTCGTATTGTCGCTGTGTGTTCCGCTTATCAAAGATACCCTTAAGCCGCACTCACGCTACTCATACATCATACGAAAGACGGTCTCCGGACACTGTCTGAGGTCTTGCTTGTATGACGATCACATTGGACATACAAACACTGGCTTTAAAAAATGTTCAACGCATGTGGGAAGGAAAGATGCTTCAGTCATGCTTGAGGTTCTGTCAACATCTCTGCAGGGAACATCGTGTCTTTTGTGTGACGTATGAGCAGAGTGCCTGCGGTTATAAAGGAGAACCTAAAGGCCCGTTCACACTCTTGCAACCGAGTACGACCGAGAGAGACCAGACCGGTTTTTAAGGCTCTTGCGACCTCTTAGGACCAGCTCCGCTACAGCGCATCCTGTCCTAAGAGATCGCAAGAGGCTTAAAAACCAGTGTGGTCTCTCTCAGTCGTACTCGGTTGCAAGAGTGTGAACGGGCCTTAAAAGAGTTAGTGACACATCCTACACGACATCGACAATATGACCCAGACTGTCGACATGTGTTCCCGGAGGCGCAAGGGGAGACATTTCTTAGCCTGAGGGCAGTGGTCAAGTGGCTCTTGCTGCTACAGCCTCAGCGGTGAGAGTGCTCCTGGAGAGGCAGTAGATATACCTTTGTCGCCATCGCACTCCCCGGCTTCAGCGAGCATGAGCCCGTCGGACTCCGTGTCAATGACCTCAGCCAAGACGGCGTCCACGATTGGCATCATCATGGCCGTGGTGGCTGTGTTGCAGATCCACGTGGACATGAACATGGTTGTGAGCATGAAGCCCAACATGATCCTGCGGATGAAATTGACACACTGTCCACACTGCGCTCGTGAATCGGTAGACGTGAATCTCTAAATTATGCTTAGCACTCTGTACGCCGTACGTGTTGCATTTTTGTGGCAAAGGGAAGAGTCTATTCTGGACCCAGTAAAATCACACGAAGAAGCGGCTTATTGCATTCATAAACTATATCGCAAAATTTATGTCTTTTTTTTTTTTAAGTCTTCAACCACTTGCCATTTTGCATATGGCTGACTGAAAATAAAAAGAACGCTGTTCGTATGCTCCGGCTCATGTTTTAAATGACTGCGGAGACTGGGCTACGTGGGCTGCTCTAAGAATAGTTAACTGGAAATAGAATCAATATACACTAAAAAGCTTTTTTTTTTTTTTTTCTAATTGAAAACGACTTTTTTTTGCGCCAAGGAAACCCCGCCTAAAACAATCTAGGCATGTGAAAGTCGTCACCTAGTTCCGGAGAACGTCATCACAGTCGAATGTCGCCAACTCGGCATTTGGACCCCAGCCCTATGGCGAGCGTTTTTTAACACCTTTGATTGGCCACCAGCCGAACGTTGACGCAGCACTCCTGTCCAATCTCTGTCTTCTCTCGAAATCACTGTGATGACGTAAGCAATCTGATGCGCAGGTTTTCATTATGCTAGGTGGTGTTGACCGGGCAAAGAACGAGGATATCTCTTCCGGAAAACTGAGGCATCGACTGCGACTCACCATCGTGGGTTGGTGCCGACACACAGCATCACCCGAAGGGCGATCCTCTTGTGCACGTTGCAGTGTTCGATGGCCATGGCCATGATGAGACTGCCGATGAACAGCATGTTCGTCTCCTGCACAAGCGAGGTGAAAAAGATCTTGCGCATATACATATTTGGACAAACTAGAAAACAGAAGGTTGTATATGTTTTATCTATTACAAAGGAAAGTTTAGAAACGTAAATCCACCTTTCTCGCCTGCTTCTAGCTCGAGTAAATTGGTCAACGATAATTCATCACGCTTGTGCTCCGAATTTCCCAGCTGAAGCTCACTTTGCCAAATAAATCATGAAAGCCGACGCATTCCATGTTTCGACATGCCCCGCTTTTCAGTGGCCCTATAGGTAGCAATGAGGAGGACGGGGCATAACCATAGTACACGTTCGTAGTTGGTGCTACCGTTATAGGGCAGACAAGCTCTCCGCTCATCTTATGGTTTCTTTCTTTTACAGATTTTTTTTTTTCTGTTTTCGACATTTATATATCACGACGGATTTCTTATTGAAGTGGGTGCGCCGTATACTTCATTTGTAGTGCTGATTCGTACAAGTGAAGAAGACTCAAAGGCAAATAACTGTCCCTTCAGAAATGTCTATACTTTGCGACCGCTTTTCTTGGCAATGCAGTGGAAGGTAGAGGCGCGCGCGGGCTCTCCTCCTCTCCCCGGAAATGCCGAGAAAAGTTGTCACGGGACTATAAGTAAAGTATTTTGTACGACACTGGGGGAACGAAAATTCAGGCTATTAACTTTAATTTGGTTTCTGAAAGGACAAAGACGGTTCACATATCTTGTAATCGCGCGAGTTTTCCGAGTTGCGACCATTTGTGCATTGTGAGCATCTCTGACCTCGGCGCTCATATGGAAATGTTTTTCACATAATAGAAAGCGTAGAAAAAGACGACACTGTTTTGAATTCAAGCAAAGGGGACATGCAAAGAGCTTATACTGTGGTCTCTAAACCGTCTGCATGTTTCTAACTTCAAAGATTTTTTTTCTTTTTATCAGGCAGGATGTTACTTAAAAAAAAGTACCGTGCCCTCCTCTAGATAGCTCTAAGGGCTTCTTAGATAACTTTGAAGTGCGAAACACTTTGAAGGGGGTAAGGGTCGAGTGCAAGAGACTCCAGAGCCAAAAGCCGCGAAAATGGTAACTCTTTTTATTCCAAAACGTTTCCCACGTGCAGTACCCCACACATTCTTTTATGTCTTTTTATTTGAGAATAAAAAGCATTACACAAAAAATGGCAGCGCACTTTAGGAAATGCATTTTATTTTATGCAAAAAAAAAATGCAATAATAAATCTGGGTCAAATATTCGCTCTTACTGCGTTGTAATTATAGAGTACATGTTCTTATGAGGGTTGCGGTCACGTTTTGTTTTTTTTCAAGAAACGAACATTTCAAAGAAATGGCTCAATGAAATCTCTGTTGGTAGACATCGAGACCGAGAAAACAACGTATTAAAAAAAAAAAAAGAAAAGGATTCTGGACGCACAAACAAACACTGGTTTCAAACTCCACAACGTCCCGCCGACCAACCATAAGCCTATTTCTATCCGCCGATAAAAAACGGCTATGATTAGACGATTAGTAACGTTCCTGCCTCGCGTGCCCGCTCGCCCCCCGGTTGTCGGTCCTCTTTATTCTCGTATTTTGCCATTCCCCAGAGTATGTAGACGTACAGCCAGCTGTCTTTTTCTAAACTATGCACTCGTGGAACGCGTTTGAATGCGAAAGCCAAACGCCGGAGGCCGGCGTTCGGCGTCCTAACGCGTTCGTCAACGACCGCGGCGCAGACAAACGCTGCTAGCTTTAAGTCTACCCACGAATCATTCCAACCAGAGCTCAGCGTTCCAACTGTCCCCCCGCGCGCACTCTTCTCTTCCTCTCTCTCACTTTATCGGCGCACAATTCCTAAATTAACTGATAAGAGATCGAGCCTGCTACACCTCACGCTTAGTAAACCATCGAGTGATTTCCCCCTTCGAGAAGTCAATACACACAGAATACACTTTCATCTTTATAAGGCACGAAACAGATAGGTGGTCAGTTCCCTTTTTAGCGCGCTACAGTTTAAATCCAACCGTAGTCGACGCTACGGTCTGACGGAGCCAATCAACAATTGTCCTTGTGCGTTGTTTGTGCGTGATTGGTCCAGTCTCCGACAACAGGTAAAACAAGCCAAGTAAAACGGAGCACGCATTTTTTTAGGGCGTCTCTGAGGTAGCGTAACGCTTCTTCCGTAGCTGTAAAATGTTCCATTGATTGTGAGGTGTTGTTTACTTTGCGGTTCTAGTAGGTTTCTGGGGAAAGGGGGACTCACCTGCAGGTACGGGTAGCAGGCTTCGTCGGTGGGCAGCACTCCGAGCAGCGGGAAGAGTACGACGGGCAGCAGCGCCGTCACCGGGAGGGGCACGGCGTTGGTCATCCAGAAGGAGGACATGAGACAGACCACGTACGCGCATCTCGCCTCCTGTCGGGAAAGTAAACAAGGAAAAATAGGCCAGAAAGCTGGAGCCCCGCGAACTGCGCGATATGCGTAATGCTACAACTCAACTCTCGTACTTTTATTTTCTATTTAAAGTCGGTGTTTATTGGCTATGTACCATTCACTCCAGTTTTTTTTTTACATTTACATAAATATATATCGTTTTTTCTTAGGTAGTTTTTGTGTTTTGCAATTTTGTTGTTTTATGGTTATTTTGTGGTTATTATTATTTTCTTTTTAAGAACTCCTGAACTGTAATGGGCGGAGAAGACTTTGTCGGACCTTTTCCCGCAACTGTCCTGGCGACCTTAACCTGCAGAGAGAAATTTAAAAAAAAGTGCACCAAAAGGACACTTGAACACAAGACTCATCGAACAACTATCGCGGATCTGCTTTTAAAAGCTGTAGCATTTCTAGGGCTTCTAAACCCTGAGATTGAGGGCGCCCGTCCGTCGCGGCATATTGTGGTGTGTGTATGTTTATACAGCCGGAAGTTAGTCAGCCCCAATGTGTGTCCGGTGTCTCATCAGCAGATAAATAATTTAGCCGTTCAAGTACAACCGCTAGCCTGGGGTCTTCGACGTGCACTACGCAGTAGTGATACACGACCGCACGCCGGTACTTTGTTCATCCAGACCGAAACCGGCAGGGGTCGGGATTGAACCCAGGATTCCTGGGTTCTGCAGCGCGAGCTTTCGCTCCACGTGTTCCGAGCTGGTGCGCGCTAAGCATGCGCTAGCCCATTCCGTTGCGGCAGAATTGCTCAATTTTGCGTGGAAATCTACACGCTAAATTTAGCGGGGAGACTTGAATTGGTATATACTTGACGCAGTGTCACGCCATCTGACACTGTGTCACATCGCGTCACGTTAAGGGACACTGTGACGTCATATGACACTGCGTCATGTGACCTCAGAGTCGGCTAACGTCATATCAGTGTGACTCGGCGGGTGAAGGATCCCCAATGCAATTGCATTACATTTTTTTTTTGGCACTAGCCAGAGAAAGGAGTAGTTTTTTTTTTTTTCATGAACATGGGAGGATTACATGCTGTTTTATACACAAATTCCTAGGTCAAAAAATTTTCGACCCCCCTCCCCCCCTAAAAAAGTCGGCTATGTGAAAGTTACTGCGTAGGAGAGTTACGGAGACATACCAAACAGTCCCTCAATCAACAATTAGCAAAATCTATAATATATTTTCCTCCTTATATATTTTTTAAATACTTATGACAAAAGACTTGACAAGACCGAAACGTTGTCATACTACTTCCGAAGTTGTCTTCCCTTTCTTAACAACAAAGGAAGGCATCGCTTGAATGTACTACTCAATAGAGCTTTTTTTTTCATCCTAGTAGGTTGTTTGAAAAAGAATGTACATGTCAAATCAATAACAATATGTACGGGTGTCTAAAATGCCGAGGCTCGATCTAAAATGGACCATAAAAATCGGCGCCTGTACGTAGCAAGTTAAGCTTCTTATCAAACGTGTATTTCATAGGGCGGTTTTATATTGTAAAATTACAATGTGTAGCTCTCTTTCTGTAAAAAAAAAAGGGCCAAACAACTTGCCAGGGTCAACGGCGGACGACGACGTAGGTGACAGAGTCGAGTTGTGGGGCGCGTTTGGCGCACGTGTTGATAGATGGCGTGGGAGGCAGCTTCGAAAGGTGTAGCCGGTCAGCGAAAGAAAGCAGACGACACACAGACGAAATCGTCGGCAGCAAGGACGCCGTCGTTATGCAACCACCGTTTCTTCTATTTCTGTTCCTTCAAGTTTTGCTCCGATTGTCTGAATTTATTTTTAAACCAAATTTACATTTCAAAAAGAGCATGTTCATTTTAATAGACCACTGTCGTCGCGGGCAGTCTTGATATTTTTTTTTTAAAGAAAGCAGGAACACGGAGGTAGCGCCATCTTTCAATACGTGCGAAAAATTTAGACGATAAGTTTCGATTGCTACGTGCAGGCGCCCATTTTTACGGCCCATTTTGCATTCTCGGCATTTCAGACACCCTAAACAATATAGCTGAAGTTAGAGAAAAAAAAACAACCAGAATTTCTTTTTATGTTGGTTACAGTTTTATTTTTATTCGCTATGGCTTAGAAAACTAGCACGGGGAAAACAAAAGAAACAAAAAAGAAAAAAGAAGATAGAAATTATTTTGCCTAAATATGACTCGGTCACATATATGGCCTCTCATTTATTATGTTTACAATTTGAAACCAGCCGTCAGATTGCATTTCTGTTCGGCAAGTTGACGCTTTAGTATCCATTTAAATGTGTGATGCGTTTGTCACACACTACACTTCTTTGGTTACGTATGCATCTAAATAAGAGATGCGGAAATGACACTTATCTCTTATGGATATGTCGGATAACACTGACACACATGAATGTTGTCTGTCTATAGTGAGAAACCTTTTTCCCCTGGAAGAACAAAGACGGAGGCGATAACGAACTATCTCACTGTGAACACACGATGCAGCAAACCGCAGGGCGCTAGAAATACAAATAAAATAAAGCGGTGAAAGGGAACGATAAAGAAAAACTTTCCATCCTTCAACGGGCTTGTAATCTTCTCGTAGAAAATATTTTCCTCAGTCTGGGTTCCTGGGACACTGTCCCCGGTAATCCCAATGTAGTGCCGCAGTTATAACAATGCCCGAAGGCTCTGGATGCCCGATGCCCCGATGCCACTAATAGAGTATTTATGCAAGTATTAGGAGGGGAAGACAGGACGTCGCCACTTTATGGGAACACTTTGCACGTGCTTTCCTCAGCATGGACAAGATTTCATAAAGCTGCACAGCTCGTTCGAAGGTTTAATCTCAATGTCAGTTTCTGTAAATTGCTGTCGTTTGTTTTGCAATAAAGGGTGAAAAAAATCTGGATGTGAGGGTACCATTCTAGGTAATGATTTTAGACACCTTGGGAAGGAACAGCAGCAAAATCTTGGACAATGGTAAAAAAAAAAAAAAAAATACACACGACGGGACGGTTCCGGACTAACAAGTAACAAAAAAGCACGTTGTACCGTTTGTGGCTTGTGTGTTTGGCGTGGTTTATAAGATCCTCTTGTCCTGTGGCAATGTCTACGTTGCAACGGACAGACAGGTCGCTGTCTGCTGGCTTGGAAAACATTCGTATCCACTCAGGGCCACTGTTGAGGGGGTTGCTACCTTTACACTGCAGGGACTGAAAGTGCCAGCCTAATTTTAGTGAAGTATTTGTTTTGTATAAGCATACATACACAGGGAGACTTTTTTTTTATCTCTGAACTTGGCAAGAGGTGCGTCAACGAGCCGCCCAGTGGCTCTATCTAAAAAGAACAAGGAAAAAGACAAGCGCCGAAAGACCAGGACAAGGTAAGAAGACGACGACACAAGGCGCACTCGCAACTGAAGATTTATTTATGGAAAAACATAGTCTTATATACACTTTTAAAAAACACCCACGTCACTTTCCACGTGCCCACTCTTTATCCAAGAATAGACACTCTTTTTCTGACAGAGTCACTGAAGGCTCGCTTATGCACTTATCTGCACCCTTCCTTATTGCATACGCCTCATGAATTTCCCTTGTAATCTTTTTGCTGTATCGCCCCAGGATTGCCACGTCATTGAAAACTGGTGTGCACTCACATCGGTTGCAATGCACAGCCAGGTGCCCCGAAGGTGACTGTTTTAAGGAAGCAGCATGCTCTCTTGCGCGATCATTTACACAACGCCCAGTTTGGCCTACGTAAGACCTACCGCAAGAAAGCGGAATGTCATACACAACACCAGTGTGACATTCTACAAACTTATTCTGGTGTTTTTTCTTACACTCGTCACTCTTCCCTTCGGGATCATTGATTTTCCTGCATAACGCAGAAAGCTTTTTAGGGGCTGAAAAAACGACAGGAACGTCGTAACGTTCCGCCACCTTTTTTTCGTTTTTTCGTTTTTTGCATATTTCCTGCAAGACGTAGAAGAACGTCATACAAGTCACGCAGGAAAACATCCCATTAGCCCCGAGGGACGTGCACTCGCTGTTCTGCCGTGACATCTCGGGGAAGCATGTTCAAGACTAATACTGAGGAAATCAAAAACGCCGAGCAGTCTTCTACAGGGCCGACAGCAAGTAGGGTGACATCGAGAGTATCACGTGCTTCGTCAAAGTGTTGACTCTAACGCTGTCTTGTTCTCCCGCCTTGATCCTGCTGTCCTATTTCCTTGCACCGGCAGAACTTAGACAGAGTGGAGTTCCCATACGTGAGAACTATATCGCCTTTCTCCGGACAAGCGGTGAGCAAGAATACCAGAATATATATATATATATATATATATATATATATCAGATTGTTTAGCACGGTATTCGCAACTCTAGCAAAACGGACGCCGCCAAGCGGGAAAACCGAGAACCAGCCGGTCCAGGTCGCTCCGCGCCCCTCCGCGTCTCTGGTGGCTTTCGCGGACACGTGTTGTTGGCGCGGTGGCGAACAGTGTAATTTGACGAAGGTTCGAATATTTCTTAAGTTTGCCTGAGTGATCATTAATGTGGTGAAGCCTCAGTACATTGTTTTCTTCTATCACGTGTTTGAAAGCCCGTTTACTCCACAGCACACGGTCGCGTGCTTTCGATCTCTTGGATGGGGAGGAATCACGGAAAAACTTTTTGATTTCTTGTCTGTCTCGAATCACATTCAAAGTGACGACTGCTTGGTAACTGATACTGGAGGGAACATCAATGTTGCAGCCAAGTGAATGGGAAGGTTCGATAGCTGCTTTTCTTGAGTTAGCTATAAGTTTGAGCCACCCACGCCGGTCGGTGCGTTGGCTATTCATCTTGGCTGCTTTTCGCCGAAAAAGCCTCTGGACCACACTGAAGGAGATGGGCTGATTTCGCAATTACTTGATTTAGGAAAACTTGCTCGCTGCAAATGATGAATGAGGGAAATTATCTGTTTTAAAAAGGTGGGGGACGAGTCTCGCAACGTTAG